GAGAAAGAAAATGTGGTGTTGATGGCGTATACTGAAGCTCCTGCTGAGAAAGATCTATCAGATTTAGAATTTGAATCAGACTCATAAGTGGTATTTGCTGAACTTTATTGCTATGAACTTGAATCCAGTTTAACAAATGTTCTGGATAAGTATCAGAAGCTTTTAAGAAAATATAAGGATCTAAATATGGTATATGAGTCAGAAGCATATTGTAAGCTTAAGAAAGATTTCTCAAGTTTAAATGAAGGAAACTTTATTTTGAAAAACAAGAATTCTAAACTTGAGAAGGAAAATATTTTAGAAGCCTCTACAGGTTCTAGTGATGTCATAAATAAGTATGACAAATCTTTCTTGAAATTTCTTACTAGAAGCGTAATGGATTCAAGTATTTATCGTGTAAGCAGACGGAACAAGAGGAATTGGTTATGATTATGATGAAGAATATAATTTTGAAAAAGATGATAAACCAAATAATCTATCTTCTCATTTTGTCCCTTCTAGGAAACAAAAGGTTGTTAGGCCTAAAGGTAAAGTTGTTGCAAAACCTAAGGCTAAAGAAAAATCTCATACCAGTTTCAACTATGCATACATATATTCATATCATGCATAGAAACATAAAGTTAAAAACTATGGGAACCCTAAAGGACCCAGAAAGATGTGGATACCTAAGGATAATATAATCTATGTTTCATACATCCTTAGCAGCGGAATTAAGACACCAATCATGGTACCTGGACTCTAGATGCTCGCAGGACATGACGGGAAGAAGGCATATGTTCCAAATTCTAAAACTTAAGCCTAGAGGCATCGTTGATTTCAGAGGTGATCAAAAAGGAAAGGGCATTGGCTCCAGAACTGTTGGTAATAGTTCTCTCCATTCTATTACTAATGTTCTATTAGTTGAATGATTAATGCATAACTTATTGTTCATAAGTCAATTGAGTGACAATGGTTATGATATAATCTTCAATCAAAAGTCATGTAATGTTGTTAGTGATAAGGATGGCTCAATTCTTTTTAATGGAAAGAGGAAAAACAACATTTAAAAGATTCATGATCTGAAAAATCAGAATGTAAAATGTCTTATGTCCGTAAATAAAGAGAAATGGACATGGCATAGACGATTGAGCCATGTTAGCATGAGGAAGATTTCTCAGCTAAACAAGCTTGATTTAATCAGAGGCCTTTTTAAGCTGAAGTTAGCTTCATATGCTCTTTCTGAAGCATGTCAGTATGGCAAGTTTTCTAAAACTACCTTCAAAGCTAAAAATGTTATTTCCATCTCCAGACCAATGGAACTTCTGCAAACTGGCTTATTTGGACAAGTGAAAACTTCTTTTGTCAATGGTAAGAAGTATGGACTATTTATTGTACATTATTACAGTCGATGGACATAGGTTAAGTTTCTAAGACATAAGGATGGGTCAAATTCTGTGTTCGCTACCTTTTGCACTCAAGTGCAAAATGAGAAAGACTTCTGAATTTTAAAGTCAGAACTGATCATGGTGGTGAATTCAACAACAAATCTTTTGAGAAACTCTTTGATGAAAATGGAATTTCCCATGATCTTTATAAGACCTATTTTAGGTAAGAATCCTTATGAATTGTGAAGAACAAAAAACCCACCATTTTATATTTTCATCCATTCGGTTATGATTATTTTATGTTGAACACTAAAGACAATTTGTACAAGTTTGATTCTAAAGCGCAGAAGTGTATTATGTTAGGATGCTCTGAACAGTCCAAGGGCTATAGAGTATACAATACAAAAACATAATTTATTGAGGAATTAAATCATGTCAGATTCGATGATAAGCTTGACTCTGAAAAGTCAAAGCTAGTTGATAAGTTTGCAGATCTGAAGATCACCTGCTCTAGCTCTGAAGGTAAACCTTCATAAGAAAAAGATGCTAAGGTAAAATATTTTGAGACTGCTCAACCTGAAGTTTTTCAAGTTCATACTCCTCTGAGGAAGCATAGACAAAGATCCTCACACTTTGAAGAATTGATTATGGGCGATAACACTGAACCTGTAATAACCAAATCCTTCTTCAAACGATCTAAATAGAATCTTATGGGTTTAATGTCTCTTATAGAACCTACATCTGTTGATGAAGCCCTTCTAGACACAGTGGATTATGGTTATGCAAGAAGAGTTGAACAAGTTCTCCATAAATGATGTGTGGACTCTTGTTCCAAGACCCAAGGGAACTCATGTTATTGGAACAAAGTGGATTTTCAGAAACAATTTGAACGAACAAGGACAGGTAGTAAGAAACAAGGTTCGACTGGCTACACAAGTTTATAGTCAACAAGAAGGGATTGATTATATTGAAACCTTTGCACTAGTTTCTAGGTTATAGTTTATTTGTCTCTTAGTTTCCTTTGTTGTTAATCATAACATCATCTTGTATCAGATGAGCGTTAACAGTGCATTTATTAATGGTTACATAACTGAAGAGGTGTATGTACACCAACCTCTTGGTTTTGAAAATCATAAAAAACCTATATTTTGTTTTCAAACTTAAGAAATCATTACATGGTCTGAAACAAGCTCCTAGAGCATTGTATGAAAGACTAAGCAATTTTCTTCTTGAAAATAATTTCGCCAGAGAGAAGGTTGATACAACTCAGTTCTGTAAAACATTTAAAAATGACATTCTTGTTGTTAAAAATTACCTTGATGATATTATATTTAGTTCTGATGATGCTGCTTTGTGCAAGGAATTTGCTAAATCTATGCAAGAAGAATTTGAGTTAAGTTTGACGGGAGAACTCAAGTTATTTATGGGGATTCATATCAATCAAAATCCAAAAGAAAATTACATCCATCAGAGCAAGTACACTAAAGTACTTCTGAAGAAGTTTGACATGTCAGAATGCAGAATTCAAAGACTCATAGGCATCCTACATGCATCCTTGAAAAGGATGCGGTAACCGGTAAGGTAGAGTAAAAGGTATACAGAGGTATGATTGATTCTCTCTTAAACTTGACTGTTTCTAGACCTGACATTTTGTTTAGTGTCTGTTTGTGTGCTCGCTTCCAATCAGATTCTAGAGAATCTCACTTAACAGTTGTTAAGAGGATCTTCAGGTACCTGAAAGGTATTATTAACCTTGGCTTGTGTTATATAAAATCTAAAGAGTACAAGCTTATAGGTTATTGTGATGATGATTACGCTGGACACTTCTGGAAGCTGTCAGTTTCTAGGAGACAACTTGATTTCATGGTCCAGCAAAAGGCAATCAACCATAACACTATCAACTCCTGAAGTTGAATATATTGTAACTTCTGGATGTAGCACTCAGATGCTCTAGATGAAGAATCGACTAGAAGACTTTCAAATATATGAGAGTAACATTCATATCAGATATCTTTACAAAATCCATTGTTGAAGATAGATTTGTTTTCATTCTGAAACATTTATCTATGAAAATTTATCCAGAATGAAACAGATGGTTATCTCGTAATGTTTATTTTCTCATAATGGTTTAATGAGACTCTGAGATATGTTAACTCTGAACGTGCGAGTCTTTTGAAGTGAGAAGATTTCATATGCTCAAATGTATACAATCATAACCTATTTATCAAACGTTCTTAATTTTGGATATTGAGTAGTTTTTGCATTAATGAGTTGTCAATCAATCTTGAAAAGTGGAGCGGTTTTAATAGACATCTTTCTTAGAAAACTTAATTGTTTCTAACGTCTTAGTGACACATTGGACGAATTCATTTATCTTGGGATTAGGTAACATATTCACGGTTTACCCCCTTGTCAGATTTTGTGGACTATTCAAGATTTTACTCATGATTGTAAAAAAAATTATACAAATCCACTTCACACCCTCGCTACTTTCACTTCCCACACTTTTTTGTTTTCAAACCTCAAAAGTTCTCTCAAACCATAAAACCCGTTCTTCGTCAACAATAGCTTCTTAACAACAATCTTCTCAACAAGAAGATAAGCAACAAACTCAACAACACATTAACACATTGCAACTACTCAAAAGTGCTCTACATTAAACTCTTTCAAAACCTTGATTATGGTCTTCTATAAGCCTTTCATTTCTCTCACATCTCTTTTATAAGTTGAAATAACAAAAGTAAGTTTCAGTTTTGCTCTCAAGAGGTATATATTTATTGGCTAATACGCCTCTCATAAATGGTCGTGCCTACACCTCTAATGTGCACAATTTTTCGTGTTCCTAACAAATAAAAGTACATTGTCCCCACTGCCATCACCGTCAACAATCACCCAATGGAAGATGATTCAGAATTGGTTACACTTGTGCTTGTGCGTTTTGAACCTAAAACTAATAAACATGCATTATGTATCCACTTTTGGTTAATTTCTATGAATGTTACTTAGTGTGTGTGATGTTTCCTCACCCCTGGTTAAATTTGTGGGGGGCATACTAAAGGATAAGAATACTTAACTCAAGCTCTTGAGAGCCTGCATAGATACTCACACAATGTATACACAACTTATAAACAGATTGACCTATATTGTACTAATAATTGAATTCATTCAATCACAAGTTTTCATCTATGCAAAACCATAAAATCACAACTTCTAATCCATATCTTTGGATTCTCATGAAAACAACTTATATTCTGAGAAGTATTTAAGATATATTTGAAAAGGTTAAACAAAAATTGTCTAATATGCAAGGACTCCAAATTCGACAAATGAGAGCAATTACCCCTTCGATTGATGATTGTTCGATGCTGCAATGCTAAACCATAGGAAGGATCAACAAAACAAACAAGCCTAATGGAGATTTGAAAAAATCGTCCCTACCCCGATATATCCATAGCCAATTAACTGAGGTGCCACAAATTTTAGTATTATACAAAACAGAGACGCGGCGCAAAATTCTAAATCTGTAACTACAAACATCTGTACTGTTTATGAATAAAAAATATAAGGCTGCAATCTACAAACTCTAGGAAACAGACAAAGGGAAATCTAAATAGTTTTACGACAATAACCAGTTTCTCAACAATCCTTGGAAGCCGAAGGATTTTCATCTGATGAAGCATTATCTTTGGGGGATGGGGATGTAGTTGCTCTCATTTTCAAGTCACCTGATTGCTGTTGCTGCTGATGTTGTTCCTGCTGCTGGTGCAGCTGCATTTGTTGCTGCTGTATATGTTGCTGATGTTGCTGAAATTGATGCTGAAATTGATGCTGCTGCTTCTGAGGATGAATTTGGAGCTGTTGAAACTGTTGTGCAGCTAAAAGAGTGTGCATGGCATGATTATTATTATTATTATTTGGATAGAACTGCTGTCCCCCTCCAAAAGAAGCAAAGTTCATCATAGGTCCTCCATTTGGTGGTATAGCTTGCCCAGTCAGTACTTTCAAATGCTGAATTTCCTCTTTTAATGCATCATTTAAAGCTACAAGGACAAAAAGTAAAGGTGAATTAGCTTTCGTAATATTAATAGTGCCAAAATCAAGATGAACTTGTCCACCTTGCATATGCTTGGATGCTTACACATTAAAAGCATTTATTCAACCAGAAAACCAACCCAATAATAAAATTTTGCGGCGAGACTCACACTAAATATGCGCCTTCACCTAACATAAATATATCAATCTATCGAGAATATCTGACTACTATCTTATATCATACTGTACTTTGAAAGGCTATTTATTACACGTATCATATATTGCATAAAATAGTCATCCAATAAATATTTTTCAAAGATAGAGTTAGAGTTAGAAGAGAAGCAACTAAAACAGCGGAGCACTAGGTTCAGAAAATTTTAAAATGCCGCAGGCTTACCATCCTGCAAGTGAACCTGTTGTTCCATGGTTTGCAACCGCAGCTTCAGCTCACTGTTCTCAGAATTCAGTCCGTTTGTATCTCTCTGTTCATAATAGACCAAAATACGTTAAATAGTCATCCTACAACCTCTTAATCAGAAGGTGATATAGTAATTCGTAATAGCAAAGCAATCAACATCTTAATAACAAGCACAAACATCAATACCTGCAAGAGAGTTAATTGTGCAGACAAAGATGTTGCTTCTGTTTGCAGTGTCTGCACTTTCCTTTCAAGCTCAGCAATGTATCGCATCTTCCTCTCTTTTGACCTCGCAGCAGATTGCCTATTTGCCCATATCCTGTTACCAAAACAATGTTAGAGTAACTCCAATTAGTGTTGTTGTCAATGAAATGTCAACATTCTCCTAGTAAAAATAGTGCAATCTGGTGCTATAGAGTTACTTCATAGCAGCATCTATGGAAAAGTTGGACCCATTATTTACGGGTTTATTGTAGAAACTCTTACCTAGCATTCGCAAAACATTTGCGACAGACTGATTCAACAACTTGATCAGTGACATTCTAGCCATACTGCAGCAACTACAGATTTTTTAAGCACCTCTATCTATCACTATTCATTTCAAAACATTGAGTTTAAATATTTAATTATGCATGCCATTACTGTCTCTAGTCTTTCTCAAAGATAAGTAATAAGAAACTATTAAACTTAACGGAATACATAATGTCATGTTAATGTTGTCAAAATCGAGATCTTGAATAAGATTGGGAAGGGATGGCGGCAAGATCACAGCATATCGAATTGCAACTATAATCGTAAGATTCTACTTAAATAATTAATTACCTAGGATCGAAGGGGGATCGCATAATCGCAGATGGTAAGATCGCAAGATAAGAGAAGGTAAGATCGCAACCAAAATCTTAAGATTGCAACCAAAATAAAATAAAAAGTTGTGCCTATTACATAAAATAAATTAAGCCTTTTCAATTTAAATATAGCTGATTTAAGGAAAGAAAAAGGTAGTTTATAGTTATGGAATATTTTTAATTAATTAGTCGTCATTTTACTTAATTTATTGTTGGGCTTTCATGAAAAAAACAGCCCAAGCCTGTGTTAATGTAGTACATAACACAGCAGTAAAAGAATAATACTAATGAGTTGGGCCTAAAGTAGCCGAATACCCTTCTGCCTTCTCTCAACAGATACGAAACCCTAAATTTCTTTTGTCCCCGGCAGCCTACCAACATCAGGAGCAATGCTGCCATCGTCCTTTACGTCTTTCTTCTTCCTCTTCCAGAGAGGGCATGGATATGATCCCAAATGACAACCAGACACAGTGGGATGTTTGGGAAAAGATGGTTGTAAAACCCAAGTGCGGCCTGCAAATGTTTTTTTTTCTGAAAACAGCATAGGGACGCGATCTCACCAGCTTTGTGAGATTTTTCACAATCTCACTGTGATCACAGCAAAGTAGGATTCTGCTTAAGATCTGGATTGACGGGCTGGTGTAAAGTCAGGAATCACAGGATCTTGCGATTTAAATTGCAATTTTAACAGCAATAATCGTGTATGCACATGAATATCAATCACAAAGTAAAACAAAACCGTACAATATTTAGTTAAAAACATACACATGGAGTACTGTGTTCTTTCTTGTGATTCATGTTTTGTCATGCCTTCCTGTGTTTTTGAATTTCTTAACGAATGCACTTCTATATTATACATAGATCTTCTAGAATCAATCTAAAGTTTCATCTTAGACTTTGCAAGATAAATTTTTCTAAAATCCTATTCCCCCTCAAAGCTGCAGAATTTGCCAAAAATGCTCTAACATCCATGCAGTGGATATTGGGGGACATGTGTATTAATTTGCTAAACATGTTTATATAACACCTAATTTACGAATGCTGAATGCTAAACCAAGCACAAATAAATTATTCACCATAATATAACATGCAGAAGGAAGTAATGTGTAAATGACTTGTCCATAAATAATACCTTTTTGCACGCTTGGGGTCAATCAAGGCAAGTTCTGCAAGCTTTGCCGCTGACATTGCTTTTTTAGAATCAGCTGCAGACAAGTCTTCTGAACCCGAGCCTAACATCTCAGGTTTGATGGTTGTTGACCCATCCATGGATTGGCTGTGCTGGTGTCTAATTCTGGGCCTTTCATTAGTACCAAGGGTAACATTCTCCCCAGAAGAAGTACCTGCTCCCGAAGCCTGCCCTGCCGAAACCGGCCCCAAACCAGATGCCCCTCCAGCATTAAACTGCTCGCCCATTTGAAACGTCGATGTTGCAGACGACGAATTGAATTTATCCATATCAAGGTACATGGACAGCAAGTCCTCCTCGGTATCATCCGAGAACGATGGCCCGTCAGCACCACCAACTACACCAAGGTCACTATCAAAGCTAATATCATCCGGCAACGTAAGAATCTCAGAATGAGCACGCCTATGACCTCTATTCCTCGGGGGATTAACAGACATTTTGCTAATATCATGACTAAAACCACTAGAATCTGAACTAGTTGCAGGAGCAAGCGGCGGAAACGACGACGAAGGTTCAGATTTCACATTGAAACCACTTCCAGTAGACGAGTAACCTGAAAAACGTCCTGATGGAGGTGGTAAACCACCGCCAAGACCCACAGATTTGTCCTTTTCCATTCCAGATTCCTTAACCCTAAACAACCTTACGCAATCCCAAACCTAATCCAGTTCAATCACTTCAAAACCCTAGTAACAAATCAACGCATTAAAAAAAACTAAATCAATTTCAAAGAACTATATTCCCTATTCCAATCGAGCTCATTGCAGAACAAATAAAAATAGAAGGCGAAAATCGAAAAGAAAAGAAGAAAAAACCAATTTCATTGTTGAAATTTGAAATGATGATGAGTTTGTTGAAGTCGGAAGAAGTGAAAAATGTTACCTTTGCGCGTAGATCAGCGGAGATCGGAGGAGAGAATGGAAACCCTAGAAATGAAATTGGAAATGGGAGAGAAAGTGGAGATCTGAGAGAAATAAGAGAGAGAAAACGAAAAGCGAAGCTTATAACTCAAGACATCATTCTCGTCAATGAATCAACCCAGAGAAACACAGACACATGTATTGTATTCTACGGTATATGTTTTAAAACATGTATATATCTACAATTACTACTACAATCCAAATGTCCTAAAAAAAATATTACTTAATTGTTTAAGCACCCTTCTAGTTTTAAGTTTAGCAATTTTCTCTCTGACTCAGATAATGTTAATGAATGTTTTAACAATAGGAGAGGAGTGTGATATGGGGAACCAATATTAAGATTTCGCAAACTACCATACAAGAAAAAGAAGAAAAAAAAAGTGATAAATCTAATAATCATGTTGATCTAATTTTTCTTCAATTAGTATTACCTAACTCCTCAAACATTGAGAGGATGTAAATTGATGAGCAATCTTTAGTATGGGTAGTAGAGGTCCAATATGTGCGGTCTAAAAAACAAAAAACAAAATAGTTGACAAGTGCACTATCTTAGATTAGAAAACAAGTAATTTTAATTCAAATTTAATCCGATGGATATTTGCATTTCATGTTTGTTGATTAGTAAGTTTTTATAATTGCTTTACTATATAAAAGGAAGAACATATAATTTCTCAAGTATTTTGAATTAAAATTTTATTTGTTTCATTTTACTTTCATACTCACTTGTGTGTTGGAATGATAATCTTGTAGGTCAACTTCTTCTCCACTGTATTGGAAACTCGAGTTCACTGTTGTGATTCACATCAATCGTTCATCGATCAATTATGGTTTCGGTGTGAAATATTGGTGTTGTATATGTGAGAATCGACTTTTGATTCTCGTGTTTTTCCACATTCAGACATTCATCCCTTGATTCACTGAATTGAAGCTTCCTTAACATGGAAATTAAATCTCTTAAGTTTGAATTGTAGATCTACTTTCTCAATCATCTTTAATTGAAGATTAGTATCGTTTCTTAGATTTCCTTCCAAATCTTTCAGTGATGACTGGCTCTAGAGCTACTCGCTTTGTTACATAGCGCGAAGTAGCCGCAATTGTCACCGCTAGAGCTGCCAAAGATCCATCGCAGCTCCCTCAGAGCGGTGGTGATTAAGTCCTCATGAATTCTCCATCTCCATCGTCACATCAAGATCATGTCCAACCTAGAACATCTCAAGGAATCTTTTAATCTCTCTCGTTCATAGAATTTGACATACACTTTCAACCAGGTGAATTAGCTCAGACCACTAGTGTCATCGACAATGCCTAAAATAGAAGCGCTCACTAGTTTCTAGTTGTTGCAAGCTAACTTCAGCATACAAGGTGCTAACAAGTTAGTGAACAATGTTTATAATAGGTTTAGCAATATAATCCCCAAACCTTAGCATAAAGATTACTCCGCATTAAAGAAAGATCGCACCATGCAAATCCAAAGAGCAACACGGTACAAGAGGTTGTTTTCTGGAAGAAACAAACTTCCTTTGATGCTCGTTTCACTCCATTCAACACCTCTTGGAAGATAATTTAGAGAATGTGCCAACACGGAGTTCAAAAGAGCAGGGATAAAGAATCCCTTCCTAGTTAGGGAATCCTCTTAAAATGACATGTCAAAGTATTGTTGTTTTGACATAAATCACATCCACAACATCAACGACTACATCTAGTTGAAGGACACAATCAAGGGCTTAATCAAGAGTGGTCGTTTGTCTGAGTACACTAAAGATGGCAAGAGGGAGTGGGATTATTCCCCGAGTAATAAGTAATCTCCGATTAAAATAGTTGATATTATGACCAAGGGAAAGGGAGTAAGCAGTTAAGAATAGGAAGGGAATAAAGGGAAGCGTTGACACATCGCATCCATCATAGGAGGCGCCCCGCAAGTAAATGCCTCCTCCAAAGGGATGATGAAACAAAAAATAGTTGGACTCATGGTCATCAGTAAAAAAGATAGAGGTACAATAACTAAGGGTGTAGAAAAGGCTGGTACTTGGTTTTTGAGATAGAGAAAAGGTCGGGGTATTTCAAACAAAACCTTGTCATTGGTCATAACGACCATGATTTGCCAATTTACGATTCCCGGATATTGGATAATGGTGGCAGATCTTGTGATATGATGTACTCAGAACTTTTCAAAAAAAAAGGACATGATGAAAGAAATGTTGTGGTCTTAAGATGGATCTGGTCTGCATGCCTTTAATGGCACGATGACTCATCCTTGTGGGTACATCGAGTTGATGATTACCGTAGAGAAAAGGGGAGATTCTGAAGTAATTGACTCTCAATTTTTGGTGGTTCCTTGTAAGAAAATTTACAATTGTATCATCAAGAGACCCTTCGTGAAAGCCTTAGATGTTGTAGCATCCTATATTAACTTCAAGCTAAAGATTCACAACATCAGCGATGAACCAGTCATGGTAAATGTCGGTCTTTTTGGAGCAAAGAGAATCTATCAAACCTTGCAAAAATACTGGAAAGATGAGGAGTGCAAAGTTACGGAGATTAACATAACCTTTGTGATAGGCCAGTTAAGAGATATGAATATTTTCCTTCACACAAGTAAGGCATGTAACTTCATCTAGGCATGTAAAAAAGAATCTTAGTCGAGCAAATTAAAGGTGGTGGGAGTTCCCTGGATGCAAATAAGTGGTGGTGGACCTACCTGGTTATTTTAATAGTTTGTATGAAACATAATTAAGTCATTGTAAGGTATTATGACCATTTTGATTAAAGAAATAAGAGTTTTCTACTAAAATATATATTTTCTTTGTGAGTGGGAAAGGTAGTAATGATTCAGGGGATCAATTGAGGAGATCAAAGCCCTCACCAGTAAGACTTGCGAGTGTTGTCATAAGCCCCGCAAGCATATGACTAAAGCAATCAAAACTCACAATGCAAAACACATGCACAAATAAGCAAAACCAATCACACATAGAAAGTGTAAAAACAACAAAATGGCAAAAATTGGGTCGTCCCCCTCTTGGTAGCTAGCCACTTCAAAGGACGTGGTGGGTCCGCCATGCGTCACCTCAAACTAGGTCTTCACTTGGAGGGTGCCCCAGAAACGCCCAATAAACTTCAAGCTAAAACCTCATAAATTAAAACCTAAGCTCTAAAGCAACATACTCGAGATCTAACATGCTAACCTTAATTAGGTAACAACAATTTCCAAATATCATGATCACACGTACACATTATTTAATGCAGGTTGTCACACTTGTACATGCATATTGAGCAAGGACGTTTAAAAAAGGAGAAAATAACATGGTTAATTTCTAAGCGAAACAATTTTATCATCTTCAACTATTTGGTCCAGGTAGACTTTCTCTCTCAAAATGCGCAAATGAGGATATAAATTATCCCCTTGCAATAAAGCATAAGAATTAGATACAGATGCAAGGTCGGAGTTAGTAACTTTATTAAACTTTTTAGCAAATCAGATATCTTCGAGGCGCAAATTCTCTATATCTCCTTGGGCAGTTAAAAGAGACATTTTCATAGAGGATATTGACGCTTGAACTAAAGCCATAACTTCATTTTTATTTGATACCTCTCGCTTCAATAGATTTACTGGATAAACTAATGAGCCAAAAAATTTAAAATCACTCAGAGTGGTACTTATCTCGATAAGAGAAGTGGAAGCCCTTTTTACCTCTTGCAGGTATAGGTCACGCTGAAGTGTCAGATCATAGACCTTTCCCCGAACCAGTTGTCTTTCCTTATGAAGTCGGTTGGCCATAAAAATATCCATACAACCAGCCCCACCAATGGCCATAATGGTAGAGGCTTGTCGAGTATAATACACCAGATTTGACAATTCCTCCTCAAGAGTGCCATCAGCCAGATTGGCAAGGTAAGAGCAATCATCTTTCAAAATGTATGCCTAGTTCTTCCTTGGAGTACAAGGTATCGATTGGGCCAAGAAGAAGGGGGATAAAATACCCAAATTTAGGGGTAAATTGCCTGGAGTTCTTGACACCCTTCTATTATCCCTAAGAATTTCAACATCTGGGTTGAGAACCAGAACAGTTCCTCCTTGAGGCTTTGATAAACCCAGCTGGAAAGGTCAGATTCATTGTTTCATCACTCTAGCAAGAACAAGGATAATGGTGAGTGTTGGAAAACTAAAAGGATTGTCTATCGTATAGTCTGAGATTACCTCTTCATTTTCTGAATTACTTTCTCACATTTCATTTATTCTACATATGATAATCGATATATAATCAGGAAATATGATAGATAAAGATGATAAGCAAAGAAAGATATAAATATTAAGGGCTTACCAAAGATGACATTTATATCCTCCTTCGTATTGGTATCCATCAACAGACGGGTTTTGATGAGCTACTTCGAACATTTCCTTAATGCTTCGTGTCGCAGAATAATGCCTCTGATGTATCCCAACTTTTTGAATAAAGTGACAAACCATTTCTTCATATAAAGTTTCTTCCGAGATATATCACTCTCCTTGTAGACATATAACATGTTCCCCATTAAAAAGTAACTTTGGCTCAAAAACTTATGAAATAAATATGTACATTTGTATTCCGATTCAGCCTCTATGGCACAGGTATTTTCATAAGCCTCTTCGTTGAGAGAATTAACTAAAAATAATTGATCTTTGAAATTTTTCACTCCATTATAACACACTTTAAAGTAGT